ATAAGCCAGCTAAAAAGACTGCTTAAGGTGTTTATATTTTGCTGCAACAACATAATCTTACTGAATCATGTTTAGTACTTGGAGCTGACAGTACTTAACACAGGCTGGAAAGGTGGTGCTATAACGCATCTTAAAAAGTTGTTAGGTCAAAATGCCACTGGGCCATTTGCATGCTTCATTCAAATGAATTATTTTTGCGTCACCTTATAGAAGGCATTGATGGACCAACATCATGTAGTACTGGATTTGTAGGTCCTGTTGATAAATTTCATCCTGATGTTAATAAATGGAGTATAGTCTTCAATTTAAAGCTCTTCCAAATGGAGAGAGTTTTGTTGACATTCCAGAAACAATATTAAAAAATATGTCAACAGATCAGAAACAATGTTACAAGCTATGTAAACATAGTTAAGATTGGTTTATTGCCACCTAATCTTAGAGAAATTCAATGTGGCTCCTTAAGTCATGCCAGATGGCTCACTACTGGCATGAGAATAGTCTTTATGTGGACAAGGAAACATGACTTAAATGATCAAAATTCGCAAAATCTAGAGTTACTTGTTGTATTTTGTTTACAATTTTACTTTAAACTTTTTTTTGTCATAAAGGTCCAAGACAGACTTGAAGATGCTTCCTATCTCATTCTGTCTCAATTGAGAATTCTAAGAATCCAACCTGATAGAGTAAAAGAAATTGTGACTCCCTACATCCAGTTAGGAGCTTGGTATGCGAACCATGAAAGTATACTAATCTCTTTATTATCTAGTAATAATGCAGAAGATCGCGATTTTGCATTTGATCGAATTTTGAAACTAAGGGGTAATGATATCCTTGGAGATATGCAAATCAGACCAAGAAAAATACCTAAACTTAACCTTGCAGCAACTACTCATCAAGAGCTAGTTAAATGGGAAAATGGTGTTGTACAAGGACCTGTTTTTACTTGTTCGCTCATCAGAGATAAGTTGTTATTACTGAAATTGATACCTTTAATAACTCCTAAATTTATAAATGTCTTTATAATACCAACTTTCTCTAATATTTGTTGTACAGTAATAAAATATGTACCACCTGATCCTTGCCTGAGTTTCCCAAACTGTTTTTCTAAAGGATCAGTGGTAAATGTTCCAAGCAAAACATATTTATGATTTGTAGACAAGAGAACTTTGACAACTCAACAAGACCATTGCATGTATGATAGAGACTTTTAGAAGTATCTTTTGTAAAACTTTTACAACAAACCTTTTGAGAAGAACACATTTGTTTAGCTAAGTTTCCAAATTTTAACAGCTTTTGAAGATTAAAATCACCAGAAGAAAAAATTACAGCTCGGTTTAGATCACACATACGTATATCTGCATAAGGGTTATGATTATTAACAATTCTCCAAAATTCATTTATTATTGAAAGAAATGAAATAGTATCAACAACATTTTTCAAGTCTGGATAACATTTTAAGGCACAGACAGTTTCTTCACAAAATACTTTTAGACAAGTATAAACTTTTTGTCTTTCAATTGGTTTGGGGAATATAGCAACATCAGTAAGTTTAGAAATTTTAATCATTTAATTTGATTCTAATTTATGCAATGCTACAATGTGAGACTATTTGGCAACTTTTTTTTCCTTATAAACATAAAACTCAAGTTCTTGAGTCTTTTCAGTTATCCAATTATTGCGAATATTTTTTAAAAGGTGCACAAAATCATATAAAAGATAAATGTTATCTTTTGTACGCCAAGGTACGCCGTCTGTCTCAAATTTCTTCAAAAAGGCCTGATTTACCCTGTTACCATCACAAACTATACATACAACATTACCACCTGCTGCTTTTATGGCAGATAGAAGAAAGTTAGTTTGTTTAAAAAGAAAACTTGAATCAATTTCATGTACTGGAAGCATTTTATATAAAAATTTGGGTCCACCAAACAAAGTAACTACGATAAAACTCAAATCAGTATTTGCAAGAATATTTGGATTGTTAACTGCTTTTTCAAACACTGTTTCCCCATGATACTGCAACATAGTCTTAACATAAACTTTGTCTAATAGAAGAATACAATTTTTATGTCTAATGTCAGATAAGTTTGAAAACACTCTTTGTAGAAATATATCTTCATTAACAGATTTTACTTTTGATGTTACTCTTGTTAATGTTGTAATGCTAGGAAGTTGAAAATCTTCTCTGAGACGATTATATGTAGCCCGCGACATTGAAAAATATTCAAATGCTCTAATCATTGTTTCAACAGAATATTTTTTATCTGTGACAAGTTTATCACCCATCCAAAATAGTTGCTGCTCAATAATATTTTTTTTACTGCTTATCTCGTAAGCATTTAAAAAAAAATTTCAGTACGAAGCATTTAAGCAGTGAAATGCTTCGTACTGAAAACTATTATTTTTTTTCAGAATAAATAATGGCACACCGGTGTTATGAAAGAACTCTAATGATTGAATTAATACTTGATTGTCTGTTTTAGTGTTAAATAATATATCAAATCCATTAAAGTTGTAGCTTTCTATGTTCGTTTTCAGATCATTAAATGAATTTTAGAACATCTTTTAAATTGAAAGCTGACAATTTGTCAGGTTGAACATTTCTAGATTCTGCATGTGATCTTGAAGTAGTTCTGAGACAACCAGACGGTGAAGGTATTAAACTTGATTTTACACACGTAAATACAGATGGAGGATCACGAGGTCTTTCTTTCCCATAGTCTTTTGTTAAAACGTATCTAACAGGCCAGTGCCTTTCACAAACTACAATGTCTTTTTTATCTGGTATATTGTCTCTTAGTATAACTGCCAACCACCTTTTTCTTTCTTCTGGTGTTCGAGGAAGACGAAAAGTTTTTTCTTTGGAACTTTGATCATAGTTTCCATTACAATTTGTGACACAGCATTTACGACCCATGTTTATTAAAAATTTAAATTTTTAACTAAATAAGTAAATAACAAGAGCTTCGACGCTTAACAGAAAATATGGTTTGAAAAATGTTTGCCTCCAGTTTTTGACGTCATCCGCACGGTGAATAGGCCCGTTATAAAGTACGCCATGGGCGTATCTTTTCCAAAAAGAGTTGGCAACAACAAATGACTAAGTATTTCGTCTATGGGCGCTAGATATTGTTCAAATTTTGGAATAGTTCTTAGGAAATATGTAAATTTTGAACGAAATCCTTTTGTAAACGCAATAAAAGCGGCCTGTCGTTGCGTCTCTGCTACTTTACAAAGTTGTTTTAACTCGTTTAACCATTTTGCTACTTTCTCAGTGCAATATTTGTCTTTAAAATTTTGCGAACCTATTACTGAACCCAAATGTCGTTGACCCTCTGTAGTTATGTTGACCGATTTACCAAATACTATGCCTGCATTCTCTGCTAATGAGGGGGATTTTATAATTAACCAGCATTTAGATTGGTTTACATAGTAGCCATGTTTACATCCTTCATCAATAAGGTGTTGATACCAGCTATGTAAGTTTGCAATGTTTCCACTAGCTGCAGCATCGTCTGCTAACCACACCTGCTTAACTTGTGGGTAATTTACAAGTAAGTGTTCTATAATAACCGCGATGTTACAAGAGTACCACGGCATAGGAAGGGGATCACCTTGAGTTGTGCCTTTTGGGGATGATACTTCTTTACATCCTGCCACAAAGAACCTCGATGGATTTCGATAAGTATTTATTAAGTAAATTGAAATTAATGGACAAATGATCTGGATGTTGTGTAAGGCGACTTGTCGATTCATACAATTAAAAACGTTCTTTGCGTCAATCAAAAGTATTGCATCTGTTTGCACATTGTTGAATATTTCCTTTATGGCATGTACAGCCGCTTCGGCTTCTGCCCCATGTCCAGCACATGTTTGTAATGGCCCGGCTGCCTAATTTATCTCACTGTTGAAACTCCAGCTAGTTACTTTACTTATGATACGCCTTAGAACTTCTCCTACGCCAATTCGCCTAATACCTGGATTTTTATCTAGATGAATTAATCGACAAGTAGTGAAAGCTTCTAGAAATGTTGGTTCATATGTTTTGTTAGTAAGTTTTGTGTCATCTTAGCAATTTTTTTTCGGAGTTCTTTACCTTTTTTGATGAAGTTTTTAGAACATAAGATGCGGCGATAAATATCGGAATACATTCCTGATGGTCCAGCAGATCCTTTAGTTGCAAATACTGCTTTGGAACTGTAGAAGTTCATGGTTTTGTGTTCTTTAGAACTGTAGAAGTTCATGGAACTGTAGAAGTTCATGGTTTTAATGTAACGTTGATTTTTTGATATTGTTATACATTATAAATTTATCAATAAAAAAAAGTCCATAATTTCTTGAGAAAAGCTATTGTGAATTACAACCGGAATCCGCATTGGAAGTTAATAAGTTAAGTTGATAAGCATGACGTCGGGTGATATTTACATGAGTTTAGCCAATTTACATATCACTTCATTAAATAAAGTACAATCGGGAAATTGGTCCCATAAATTGCTCGAACTTACACAATCGCTAAATAATTTTAAATGCAGTAAGTTCCTTAAATAATATTGTCCAAATTTCCATAATATAGTTTCCATAATATAATTTCCATAATATAATGTTTAAATTTTTTGAGTTGCTTTAGTATTTGGTTATAAAAAATTAACATGATTAGCATAAATAAAATATTGAAAGATTTACAAAATGATTAGCATTAATAATTATTAAAAGATATACAAAATATATTTGGCATATAATATATGTATAATAATATTTAGTACGTATAGTTAGTAGGTTAACACATACACCATATTTACATTATTTTTGCGTTATTTTACGTTATATTTATATTTAAAATATTAATTTGATATATATACACTAAATAATTTTCATGTTATGGTATACCTTTTTTTCGTTATGTAAGTTATGTTATGCTTGGCTAATTTCTTTATTCTATCTGTATATTGTTGACTCTTTGATCAAAAATGTAAAGTTTTGCCTCATCTTGGGAACTAAAACAAACTGAAGGAACTTTCCAAACGTTTTGATTTTAATATTAATTTAATTTAACAAAGTGATTATTCAAAAAAATTGTATCTTTTGTTATTATACTGTTTGGGTTAAAAATTTTTATTTAAAAATGGATTGTGAAATGAAATGTGAAGAAGTTCCTGTTCAATCAAAACCTAAAAAATCTGAATCAAAAAAGTCATCTGACAACTGGTCTAAAAAAATTTTTGAACTTATTAAAAGAGTTGATAGTTTTAGAGGTATTTAAAATCCTTGGATTACAGAAAATTTACACATTATAAAAAAATTATAAAGCATGCAGGCAATATATATATATATATATATATATATATATATATATATATATATATATATATATATATATATATATATATATATATATATATATATATATATATATATATATATATATATGTATATATATATATATATATTCATTTATAAATTATTTGGAAATCACTTATCAAACTTTTTTATTCAACACTGTGTTTTGTCAGACCCATCAGAAATGCTATTTCTGCATGAGTATTTACTCATCAGAAATGCATGTGTTTCATCAGTAAAGACATATCAGAAATAACATTTCTGACAAGTATTTGCTGATGAAATACAGTGTTAAATGAAAAATATTTGATAGGTGATTTTCTACTAATTCATTATTGCTCTGTTCTTTTATGAACATTGAGCACTCTATTTTGAGAATACATTTAGAATTATATATATATATATATATATATATATATATATATATATATATATATATATATATATATATATTATATATATATATATATATATACAGGGGTTAAAGTAGGGGGAAATGCCATTCCTCCTTAGCTGACAAATCAAGAAACTGTTTCGCTTTGCTCAATATTTCTTTGTAACAGTTCTTCCTGGTTTTTGAGTTTGCTTTTTTTTTTTTTTTACAATAGTATTGTTTATAAAGTTCACTTTTAACGCTGATTTTTATTGAAGTTAAACAGCTATGTTATCATTTGCTAAAATTTATGACTGCGAGAAAAAACTTTTTATTTTTTGCTTACAATTAAATTTAAATTGGCATAATTTTTGAATGATTTAAAAGAACTTGGAATAAAATAAAATATTTTGTTAAGATTTTATTTATAAAAATCTGCTTATTTTGAGCTTGATATAGCTTACTTTTTGTATGAGCTAGCTAACCAGACATGAGAAACATTTATATGTTTATACTTATATCAAATAAAATTGCTTTTCAAAAAATTATGATGATTAAAGCCTGAGAACGAAAACACCCTAAAATTTGAGACGCCTGTGCCCCAAACGTGAAGCAACAAGTTGATAAAATTGTTTTTTTTTTTTACTTTTTTTAACTTAATTAATATTCATTAATAAATTGTAAACTTACTAAAAAAATTTTTTGTTGTTGTTTTCATTTCATCTCCTCAAGGCCGAGAAGGCCACTACAGATGAGGAGGCTACTTAATTGTGGTTATAACCCTCTCTCAACTCTATATATTCCGAAACACGAACCTTGACGAACAAGGCCGTTGCGCGGAGAACAGGTTGTGTGCGGTACTACCAGGGACGTGGTGGGGATCGAACTTGGAATCTCTTGCTTATGAAGCAAGCGCTCTACCACTACACCACTACCGCATAGAAAATAAAAACATAACTATTTCTTGGTTATGCTATTACGTTTCTGTTTGAACACCAGAAATTAGCTCATTTTAAAGTTTCTTTCTCTAATATAACCATTTAATTTAAACATTAAGCAAATAATTGTGCACCTAACAAAAATATACTTACAGCAAGAATTTGAGGGAATGACTCTGCACCCGAATGAGCTGTTCTGCATAAGTTAATAATTGTGGACAGAAGTAGTATTAGTTATCATGCAAGACCTCAAAATACATCAAAAGTGCACCTAACAAAAATAATCCTACAGCAAAAATTTGAAGGAATGACTCTGCTCCCGAATGGGCTGTTCTGCATCCCTTTGAACAAATAATTTAAACTTTTAAACACCTTTCCAGTTGGTTTACTATTATTTTTTAACCCCTGTATATATATATATATATATATATATATATATATATATATATATATATATATATATATATATATATATATATATCAATGTATACACAATTTACAGCTTTGGCAAAAGTATAACTTTTTCTCTCAAAACCACGAAGTCATTTTTTATAAGTCTATTTCAGCAATTGCTTACTTGTTTTGCTTATCTTTCTAGCATAATGCTTTTTCAGAAAAAAAAACAAAAAATAATGAAAAAAAAGATTGCTACCAAACCGCAAACCCTCAGTCGATGTAGTGGCTCTACTTTGTGGCAGCAGACTATAAGATAGTTAGTGAATGTACTGAAGCCCCCGGCAGCTGGCTATTTCAGTATTATATCTTACATGCTATCTAAACACACATTAATAGTTAATATTATTTTTATTTTACTTTTTTATGTTACTATTATTAAACTCCTTTAATTCATTATTCCTTTTTTCTATTTTCAACACTGTTCATTAAATTCATTTGCAACACTATTCTTTTTTTTTTTGTTTCAGACACTATTCATTAAACTCCTTGGCGACATTCCTTTTTTTATTTTCAATACTATTCATTAAGTTCATTTGCAACATTATTCTTAATTCTGTTATTTAACAATCAATAATGCGACAATATTCTTTTTTTACATTTTGGACAATCAAATTTGCGACAATTAAAATTTTGTGACACTATTCCGCCACACCGAATAACTGATAAATATAAAATTATTACACTCTATTTTATATTGATAAAACATAAAGTTATCTATCTGATCAAAAATAAAATTATTACACTCTAATTTATTGCATAATAATTTTTAAATTATGTAATGAATTATATATTTTATATAGTAATTACTTTAATATATTATTAACTTTTATTGTGGAATTTTTAATTGTTGTAATTATTTTTAAAATCCCTGCATTCTATTACAATAAAAAAACTAGAAAGCATTTTTTATAAGCAGTAAAACCTTTTTTAGCTCTTTGTCAAAAATTTTATCAAATAAATAATGTGGTTAATAAATAATTTGATAGCTAGTGTAAAAACCCATAAAAAACTCTTGTCGAAACAATTTTTTCAAGTTGCAATAAATGATGCTCGTTATGTATATATTCTTGTAACATTAACGTTGTAAATATATGCTTGTAACAAGTATAAAACCCACCAAGTCATATATATATATATATATATATATATATATATATATATATATATATATATATATATATATATATATATATATATATATATATATTTCTTTGTATTATTTCGATCTGTTTTTGCATAGATCCCCATCAGGTTGAAAAGAAACCATAAATAATATCATTTATGGCTTATTTTAAATGTATATTATAAAATTTAATTTATATTGTAAACAAGTATATATCTTATACTGCTGGTTTAGGTGAGCAGTCTGATGTCATACTGAAATGAATCTTCTATAGCTGGTTTAGATAAGCCTTTGCTCACTAGCTTTGCTTATTTTTAAAGCATATGGCTTTTTCATAAAAAGAAGAGTTATGAAGAATAATGAAAGAAAATATTGCTGCCCAACCCCAGTTTGTTTAAATCTCTTTTAACCTTTTTTTTCCCCTAATATTAAAAAATAAGTTTTGAATTTTTACTATTTTTACATGTTTTACGCAAACTGTAATATCATTATAGCCATAGCTTTATTAGTTTCATAACACAAGCAATTAATACATTCTAAAAAGTGAATTAAAAAGAAGTTTACATCACTCGCTCTTACATTATTGTTGATCATTTTAAAGCTAAATTCCAGATCTTGCTTAACCACCTGCAGAACATTCTGATAATATTCTTCTCCCTTTAAAGAAGCCAGAAAGTCCGCACTAAATTTAACTCCCTGCTCAGCATAGTTGTTAACAATCTTAATGGCATTCAGGTTGACTAATGATACATTAAATGAGCTTAAGTTTGATCAGTTACAAACATTATCGTGTATCAAGAACTATGAGTTCAACTGAAGGATACAAAAGATAAACTACAAGTCTGGTTTAACCAGATCTGCTAATCTTTTTGAAATTGTTATCTCAGTGGGAAATCTGGGCTTCCCAAATCTGTGGTATGACATAATCAAAGCATCATCAGTCTTTACTGCATGAAGTTTTTCTGAAAGAGCGCGACATTCATTTGCTGATACCTTAATCCACTGAGATATTATTTCTGTTGTTAAGTACCATTATTTGAAGGCACAAATTGCACTTGATATCTCTGGATTAACAGCTGCATATGACAGCATTGGCTGGTAAAATTTCAGGTTGTGCCATAATGCATATTTCACAGATATGCAATACATCCACAATGAACTATAGACAAGTGTCACAAAAATTACCAAAGTGGTGGAGTTTCAAAGTCAGCTTGTTTGTTGTTATTAATTGAAAACGAGATAATTGTTTTGCAAACTTTTTAAAGTTGCAGATATTGATGATCATAGTGTTGCTGATCTGTGTGAACCCAGAAGTTCAAAGTATTTACGAAATCTAGAGAACACTGTAACATCTGGAGATTTTAAAGTTTCTATCTTTAGTTTATCAAACACATGTGATAATATAACTTCGACAGCATGATGATGCCAAGCGGACCATATAAGAGCATTACCTAGTCGCTGCTAGATTGTGACTCTTGCTGCTGTCACATATCCAGCGTTTGATGCTGTAGTATCAAATGTCATATTTACTACTGAATCACAACATTTCTGTAAACAAAATTGAAAAAAGTTTGCTACAATGTCTCCTGTATTTTGATATGTACCATGTTGGTATAGGGGAATGCAAAGAAGTTTGAGCTGATTTGCATTTACAACCACTACTGTAAGTCGTTCTTCAGAAATGATTTTGTTTGATGATGAATGGAGTAACTTAGAATCCAAGTATTACGTGAGCAGCTTCGGAACAACCCACTGATCTTTGTAGTTTGTAGCAATAGTTTTTGCAACTTGATAACAGCATTTATCAGTGGTTTAAAAGAATGCAGAGACTTTAGACGAGTCTCCTCCAGCTTCTTCAATAAACACATCACTGTATGCAGCTTGTTGTAATGGGGTAATCTTCAGTCTTGTTACAACAGAAACAAGCTTTAGCTTTTGTTGAATATCTTAAGTAATGAATGCTGGTATACCAGTTCAGGCTGAACGATGATGACTTTAAGAGTTTTTTTTTTGACAAAGCAGAAACAGTTGATTTGGGTATTTAAAGAATTTAACTGTTTTTATGTCACTATCTGCTAACTATCTGTCTAGAAAATGCATATTTTCAGTGTTTTCCATGTGTTGTTCAAAATTACTGGGCCAGAGTGCAAATGTATTAGACAGTGTCTTATCCATTTGTTAAACATTTTCAATGCACCATGCAGTTGACCTGCATTTGATCAGAAAATAAACTCTTAGTTTTGCATTGTCATATAAATATTTTGGAAGCTTCTGGTAAAATAATTTCACTAATTATTGGAAAATTAGCTCATTTCAATTAATTAGCTTTTCCATAAAATATGATAATCTGTGCTAGTACCGATTTAGCACCGATTTAGCACATTTTTTTTAAATTTGGCACAGCTTTCTTGCACTCAAGTTTTGAAATGCCACATTAAATAACGCAAAACTTGCATTGATGTCAGCAGTCGAGAACCGATTATCTTAGTATCAAGGTCAGTAATGCCACAGGCCCTGATATGTTTTTAACAACAGATACTACAGAAGCAGACATTTTTTGAAATTGAAACTCAAGATTATTAGCATGACTCTAGCATGTGTTAGTGCTAAGGTCAAAAGTGCCAGTGTTTGGCCTAAAGATTGTAATGACTGTTTTTCCATTCAATTTATAAATTATGACAAGTTGACAACAACAAAAACATAAGAAATATAAACATATTACATGGTAATAACCATAAGAATTTGTAAATTTGTTACACTTTTTTGATTTTATAAACAAAAGATTTCAAAAATACAAGATGTCAACTAATGTAAGCAAAAATATAATAGATAACAACATAGAAATCAGCTAATCAGTTTTTTGATGAAGAATATTTCAAGCATTTTGTAGCATGCAAAAATCCTATTGTGTCAAGATATACATTTTAACATTTTTCATATTTGTGGTGAACCCCCTAAATGAGTTCCAAATTGCGTAAAATGTATGTATGTATGTTTGTATGTATGTATGTATGTGTATGTATGTGTATGTATGTATATAAATATACACATACACAGGCTTGGACAAGAATGGCATGCAGTCAAATGTTATTGCTGACCATGCGAATGATTTTTTTTTTTTTGACAACTTGATTATGACTAGATCTTTTAATGATATAAATGCTTCAGAATTGCGCTGAAAAAATACCGCTAAGCTAAATTTAATTAGGAATAAAAATAAAAAATTTAAAAAGTGAATAAAAAAAAAAATTTAATTAGGAATAAAAAAAAAAAATTTAAAAGTGTTACATATAACATTTTTAAATTGTATAATTATATATTTATTTTTATATACAAATTATTTTTATACTAATTATATAAATATACATTTATTTGTTCAAAAAAGTTGCAAAAAAATTGTTTAAAAAAACAGCTCATATTTTTTCTACATCAGATTTATCTTATTATCACATCGAAGCTTTAATTCCTTATTTAGTTTCAATTCAAGTTTAACTTTAAACCATTATTAAAGAATACTGTGATTGGCAAAAATGATATTTTACAATGTCATTAACAAAAGCAATTCTAATAAATTCGGAATCTCTCATCTTTGGGATTGATATTATTAGCTATCTCAAGGATAGCTATTTGTAAAGAACGTTTCCTCTAGTCATCTCTTACAATTTGTTCTCTGACAATCAATACAGATTCTGATCCTCTTTCCTACTCATGACTTGTTAACCATTGTAACAGAAAGGTTTTATTGGGCTTTAAATAGAGATGGTGAGACAAGGCCTATCATGCTGTATAGACCAACTTGCTTCATATGGTGTATTTAGGAAAGTTTTTAAAATTATCTAATTCTTTTCTAAGTGCAGTATTTGATGGAAAACACTCATTTTAATACAGGATCAAGGATGTTCTATCCTTGGTCATGTGTTGTTCCTTATCTATATTAATAATCTTCCTAATCTTCCTAATCTTCTCATTTTGCTGATGCTCTTTTTGATGAAGACACAACTATATTTTTTAGTCTTGTCAAAAAGTCACCACTTTTTGATTGCTTCAAACAGACAACCAATCTTGAATTTAATCTTTCTTTTCTTGTTGCTTACTGCAAATAATTATTGCAGTACTTTTGATATTTTTGTATTGATTAGTAGCAACACTCTTACTGAGCCCTCTTTTTATGTTCTTTTGGATTATCATTGACCACAACCCTTTATGGAAACAATATAAACAATTTACTCATGCCATAATTACTGTTTAAACCAGCTATCATGATTTGTTCTAATGCATTGCAAAATTTAATCTCTCTTCATACAGCAAAGTGGTATCCTTTTACTGTAACTTTTTTTTATGCTCAAAATAGTTTTATTAAGTTATTTTCCTTAAACATTTTCATGTTTTCCTGACTAATACAACTTTTAGTCAGCTGCTTTTTTGCTCTTTTAATTAGCGGTTGCTATGTTATAATAGAAAAAAAGTCGTTAAAAAAAGCAGTTTAACCGCAATAGAATTTTTTTGTTAAAGAAAATTTTTTTATTCATTAACTTTTTTTTTATGCCTAAAAGACTTTTAATTAAATTAAAACATAGAATAATATAAAATATTTAGTCTAATAATATTTGCCAAGCAAGCTAAAATAAAAATATCGATTTTGATTTTGTCTATAAAAATAAGATAAAGACTTACGTAAAAAGTTTATGAAAAAATATATGAATATTTTTTTAATAAAGGTCATCATCACAAAGTACCAGAAATCAAATTTGATAATGTATATTAGCAGGGGTTCAATTATGGGTTCATGTCACATTGTATACTTATATCATACTATCAACTCATATTTATTATATATATATTGATTAATATTTATAATGATATCTTTACAAAATGCTTTATATTAATAAAGTATTTATGAAAAATTTCAAAGATGTTTGTATAAAAAAGAAATTATTACTGATTTAGAACATTAATTAACAACTGACTATGGAGAATAAATGTAGATACTTTAGGCATCACAATTTTTTTCTCTTCCTTCCCTTTTTTAACAGTTAGCCAATAAACTAAAGAAAGCTAATAATTATTACAATAATTATAGTAAATATTTATACATTTAATAAAAAGTAATTATAATTAATAATTATATTATTTTAGTTGCCAATCAATTTTTTTTTTCTAGGTAAAAAGCAAAATGGGTGTGTTCCGTTTATACTTGACGATGTGCAGATAGGATTGATACAACCAGCAGTGTTGAAAAAGTTAGAGTTTTATCATGATATATTTTATGTTGTTAGAGATTTACTTACTAAGACTGTTAAATATGTTACTATGGCATCCACATTAAATGATAAAAAGTCAAGAAGTCAACAGTTTGCATGTGTAATGAGAGACTGGAAAGATAGAGATTTGTTTCCACCTCTTAGTGGATGGAGAAATGAGGTAAAAAAAAATTTCACTTGTTATTTTTATTTTCATTTAAATATTTAAAATTTTTAAATTTTTTTTTTTTTTTTTTAATGTTTTTTCAAAAGTTATAATCATTTTTAGAGTATTTATTTCACATCATCTTTATCATTTTATATTTCACATCATCTTTATCATTTTATATTTCACATCATCTTTATCATTTTATATTTCACATCATCTTTACCATTTTATATTTCACATCATCTTTACCATTTTATATTTCACATCATCTTTACCATTTTATATTTCACATCATCTTTACCATTTTATATTTCACATCATCTTTATCATTTTATATTTCACATCATCTTTATCATTTTATATTTCACATCATCTTTATCATTTTATATTTCACATCATCTTTATCATTTTATATTTCACATCATCTTTACCATTTTATATTTCACATCATCTTTACCATTTTATATTTCACATCATCTTTATCATTTTATATTTCACATCATCTTTACCATTTTATATTTCACATCATCTTTATCATTTTATATTTCACATCATCTTTACCATTTTATTTTTCACATCATCTTTATCATTTTATATTTCACATCATCTTTACCATTTTATATTTCACATCATCTTTATCATTTTATATTTCACATCATATTTATCATTTTATATTTCACATCATCTTTATCATTTTATATTTCACATCATCTTTATCATTTTATATTTCACATCATCTTTATCATTTTATATTTCACATCATATTTATCATTTTATATTTCACATCATCTTTATCATTTTATATTTCACATCATCTTTATCATTTTATATTTCACATCATCTTTATCATTTTATATTTCACATCATCTTTTTCATTTTATATTTCACATCATCTTTACCATTATATATTTCACATCATCTTTACCATTTTATATTTCACATCATCTTTACCATTTTCTATTTCACATCATCTTTACCATTTTCTATTTCACATCATCTTTTTCATTTTATATTTCACATCGTCTTTACAATTTTATATTACCATCATATAATTATATATACCATACCATTATATAACCATCTCTATAAAATGTGGTTTCATTTTAAAGTGGTTTGAGGGGCACTGACCAGAACATTACTAGAGTTCGGTTTTAAATAAACATTAGTTACTTAATAGATTTTTGGAGTCAAACATTTTACTAATAGTAGATATGATCTTTAATAAGACTTTATTAAACTTAAAGATCCTTTTTTGCTGACTTTTTTCTCTATGTTTATGATTGAAGATTGCAACAGCATAAGAAAAAGAGAACTACAAAAAAGAGTGGGCTAAACATTGAGTCAGGAAAAAAAGTCTTCATAACTTTATCAAACTAAAATATCACAATTGTCAGCAAGTTGGCAGAAGTCTTAACCCAAAGACATAAATAATGTTTCAATTTTAGGCTGAATTTAATTTAAATTTTCATTGATATCTTCATCATTATGTCTCTTTGAGAGCTAAAAACAATAAAAAATGTTATTATAATAAAGTATAAAAAAGTTTTATATAATAGAAGGTATAAAATCACTAATTAACAGATAACTGTATAATAAAACATATATACATACATATTAGTATTATTTAAAATAATTAGATAAAAATATGTATTGTGTGTTGTTTAAACACTACAATAATCAGTTTTTATTCTCTTTGTGTGTGTGTGTTGTTTTAGACTACAATTTTTCTTGAAAATAATTTTAACTTTAGCTTTGCTTGGGTTTTCCATTACTTCAAAAATTACTAAATTTTCAGGCATTAACAGACAATCCACGCAAACTAATTATATATAAAGTGTATAGCATATAGGTATATTTATGTATACATTGAAAATAAAATTAAAGCTAATTTTAAAAAACTTGGCCTTTAGTCCTATTTAAGCAAAATTATTATTTTGTTCAATAGTTATTTTTTTTTCCTCAAAATTTAGTTCATTTATATTATTACATTTATATCATTATATACTATATACTATTTTTAGGTTATGGAAACCTTATAGTTTTTTAATTCCTTTATTTCATCTTTTTATTTCTTTTTGTTGAAACAAAATCCTTTGTAAATATGATGTGTTTATATACACATACAGTTTAATAAAAAAAAATCTATAAATCTTGAAAAATAATGACCATTCAAGCTTAAAACACTTCACATAAGTTGTAATGTAAGCAAAAATGGCTCTACAAAATACATGAGTTTTGTGTGTAAAATTCATAATGTGAAGCAACAACATTAAAAATGCTGTGTTAAAAATGACACACAAAAAAAATTCTTGAAATTATTTAAAAAATACGTTATCTCATAAAAATAAAAGTTTAGAGATGTTCTTAATATTTAAATTTTATTAGAACTCTTGCTTTTACTTAAAAAAATTGTTTTACTCTTAAGATATATGACATAAGGAAATCTTTTAACAGTGAAGCTGTTCTTGAAGTGGAGAGATCAGCCTGTGGTAAGTGTCAGGAATTTTTTTATTTCAAAACTATTTGTTTTTTTGTTTTATCAAATGTCTTTTTAAATAGTTAATCTTTTCTGTCATTATTATGCTTTGTTTATTTATAATTTTTTTTAATTTGAAGCTTCTTTTTTTTTTATCAAATTTTTTACTTGAAACCATTTTATTAATACAAAATTAAAACACATCTTATTTTGTTATATTGTTAACATTTTTTGTACAAAAAAAGAAATTTTGGAAATACCATTCAAAGCTGTTCTTCATTTTATGATTTTAGAAATGATCAAAATGAAAAAAACTTTCTAAAAGAAAGTTGTTAGTGACTACTTTAGATGCTTTATGTAAAATTGATTTTTATGAAATTTTTTAATTAATCAAAATCAAAATTTTAACTCTTCAAAACATTAACTCTTCTTTGATATAAGCTCATAAAATGAATATTTCTTTCGTTTATGGTTTTAGAAAACAAGTTAAATATCAGATTTCCAAGTAAGCAAATCTGATATTTAACTTGTATTGAGAAAGAGAAAAGCAAAAACAAAAACACTAGTTTTTCATATATTGTTAACATCAATGCCACAAGACCATTGTATCTACTTAAATGATTAATTAAACAGTTAACAATTAAACGTTGCCAATTTCTTGTCAGTTTTAGATCAAATAGATTTAAAAACTCAAATACAAACTTTAAATAAGCAAAAGGCTAGGAGAAGATCTTTACTTGGTAGAAGATTAGATAAATAAAAGAGTTCATTCTATTATTTACATCAAGGATAAGGAATTAGAAGCAAGAGTCGAAAGGAGAAATAGATACAAAATGTTTAAAGAATACAGGGAAAAAATGGTGGCCTATAACTTAAACTAATTTTGAAAATTTTTGGATTTTTATATTTACACCTAATTAAAACATGTACTATTAATTTTCCAACTTATGAAATCGTTGACCTACTGAATTTTCAACCTACTGAATATTTAACCTGCTGTAATTTCAATTTTATAACTACGTTTTTCTGGTATGTATTTTGTATATTTTCTTGTTGATTTGAATATTAGCCAAATTTGATCAGCCTTGGTGCAGTAGTTGAAGTGCTGTCTTCAGAATTGGGAGGTATAAGGTTCGATGAATGCCTTGAAAACTTATTGATTGTTAATTTAAAAAATAAAAAAATTCATAGTTTAAAAAAAACAACATTAAAAACACATAAACGGATAATCGGTTCACAAATAAAAAATCTATAAAATAGATCGAGAAATAAATTAGTGGAAAATGAAAAAGTCATAAATTGGTTGAAAATCAAACTATATAAGACTAAAATCAGTTGAAAACAATTTAGGCCTCAGTAGGCTGTCTGAAAATTAGTTTCACTTTTTAGTAGATGTTCTTTTTCTAAACAACTAATTAGGTCAAGATTTTTGTAGGTCTAACTATGGTTGTTGACTTTTAACAGAAGATGAAGAGGATATTAGCTATATTTATAAAGGTGAAGAAGATATTACCCATATTGAAGAAACTGAATAGAATGTTAACCTGATGAAGATAAAGTTTTTTATTAGCCATATTGATGAAATTGAATAGGATGTTAGCCATATTGAGGAAGATGAAAACAATATTTCTTTAAAGAGTTTTTCAAAGTAACATCAAAAAAACATCTGATTTAGTTTTATTAATACATTATGCTGGTACATTTTAAGATGCCAGACAAAGTTTTTGCAGAGATGATCTCTGGTTAATAAAAAGTTTGGTTAATTTGTCGACATCATTTTTATGCACCTTACCCATTTGTACAAAGCAATAACTCAATAATAATAGTTAAAAAGCAAAGGTGCATAATTTAATGTATTAGGTATATACTAAATTATATACTTAACTCAAACTTTAGGCAGGAATGGAAATATATTTTGCAATTTATTTCTGCTATTTTAAATATAGGCTTGAATGGTTTTTTGACAACTATTATTTAGTTCAGGTATGACTTGTTGACTTAAAGCAAAGAATTTTATTGAGATTTTAGTAGAAAACAATTGGAAGAGCAGTAAAGCTTGATCTCAAGTGCTAATCCACAGTTTACACAAACACATCCAAGATATGCTATTTGACTTGCCATGTGACTCATCTTAAGGGGGCACCCATTAAGTACATACACAGTAAAACATACTTTTATGCTGTGCAACAATCCATTATTTTCTTAAAACTTGTGAAATTCAATGCTTTTTTTAAGTAAATAAAGAAGAGATAGAGATTTAGAGATTCAAACCTGGCTTTGATTATGGTTTTTAACCTTGTTTCATAGGATGGTAAAAAAAATGCAGGCATCGACTCTGGACTGAAAATTGATATTGAAACCTACCAAAGACATCCTCAACACATATGTCAAGCCCTAGATCGAGTTCAGATACTCTCTGGAGACCAAGGTGGTATTCCAGCAGGATCAAGCACTGTGCCATACATCGAAGAAAATACAGAAGTGGCTAGAACATAACATTCTGGATTTCTTGGCTGAGGACATCTGACCCACTAGTTCATCAGACCTGAATTCATTGGACTACCCTGTATGTGCATATGTCAAGTCAAAGGCCTGTGTAATGCCCATAATAGTGTTGTGCTGGAGCCAAATTTTCTACTGACATTGGCCAGGGTCAAGACCCTGATTGAGGGGTCCATATTGAGTAAAATGTTGCTAAAAAATTTATCTTTGATTTAAAAAAAGAATTAAATAAATTTTATTTTAGATTTTAAAAAAAAGTTGACACTAGTCCGGAATGTAGCGCAACATACTGTAATTAGTTATCTGTATAAACAACAAAAAAATAAAATGATTTTAAAATATGGCTTGTATCTGCAACTTTCCATACACTTGTATTTTTTCTAAACATCCATATTTTTTAAGTCTAGTCTTGCTAAACGTTATATTCACAAATTATACAGGAAGAATAAAATTAGATATCATGTTGTTGAAAAATTTGTAAAGATATAAGAACTCGTTTACTTCTTTTTATTTTTAATGAATATGATAAAAATGTTGGGAAAATTATACAGAAGTTTTACTTTTCCATATAATTCTTTTCAACAATATACAGCAAAAAGCTAATAAAATTCAAAAATACAGCAAAAAGCTGCTGTAAATGTTTTACTTGCATAAAAACAAAACTCTACATAAAGCTTGTCCTTTTTGAAATTTGAGCTTGAATATTTTTTGTGGCTTCTAAAGTGATATAGAACAGCTTTTCACATCACATCTAACATTTTGCAATCAAAAAATAATAATTAAAAAGATAAAAAAAGTTGTGAAGTCTATTATCATCCATATACATAACAGTGAAATAAGGTTGGCCAAAAAAATCTTCAGTATTTTCTTATCCTTGAATTTTTTTTTTCAAAATCAAAACTATAAAAAAAGATTACTAAAATACCTTATTCGAGTAGCAGTATACTTTATTTGGGTAGAAGTATTCCTTATTTGGGTAGGAGTATCTTTAATATGGTTCATCATCAGCTAGTCTCTTAAATACATTGTTATTTAAGAGACTAACTTATTATATTTTTGTTATTTACTATTATTATTTATTATTACTATAAGGGTTTTGAAAATTTTGTAAATATATGTTTATATTATATTTATGACTATATTATAATATAAAACACAGTTCAGAAATTGTAATTGAATAATGTAGTAAAATAATCACTTGTTTGATAAAATAAACTTCAAGTTAATTTTTTCAGCACTTCTACACTTTATTTCTTGCATGATTTTAATCGCTATTCTTGCGCAAATATTACTTCTTTGTGTTTGAATTGCTGTATTGTCTCTATTCCAATGTTTCCTAAAAATTGTTTGCGCTTTCTTGTGTTTTTTTAAAACCTTATCAAACTTTTTATAATTGTCTTCTCTTATTAAAATGATCACTGAACAAACATCAAACCAAGTCCCACAAATCAATGCACAAAATTCAGCTGTTCACGTTGGTCTGGAAGTAGCAGAAAAGTTATTTCTTAGATTTGCACTTTGTCATTAGATTTGACTAGTTTCATTGACTTCTTGCACAAAATCATATGATATATTGGGAGATGTTGACTTTCCATCAAGAATTTGGTCAATGGAATGCTTTAGGACTAAATATAATACGTGATGTTGACATCCTACTGAGGTATAGAAATGCCTTTTTCTTCCATGGACCAGTACAACAACTCCAATTATCACTCCAGTATTGGCACTTGTGGTATCACAGATTATAACTTTAATGCTTTCCTACAAGATATATTTGTAGGAAAGCATTTAGGTCCTGAGTTATTTCATTAAATATTGTTAATGCTTTTCCATCACTAAGAATTAGACTAACTTCACGGTGCTGATTTTATAATACAATTAAACTTGCATTTGTTTGTTAATTTTCTTACCATCAAAGTGCAGAGACCAATTTTTATTTTAAAAGTTTGCTTAAATTACTTGGTTTTGGTGGTGGAATATTGGTTGGTTTTTTTTAACAGGAGGTTCAACAGTATATTCACAGTCATTAGTATCATCATCAGAGGTTTCTAGTTATTTTAATATATGAGAAGCATTTTAAGATTTTCCATTTCTACATGAAGAAGGAAGATTACATGCACTACTGTTTAAGATATTTGTTCTGTCAACATTTGGAGAATGCACTTTAATTTGTATTGTTGTTGCATAGTCAACTTCTCCTTGTGATTTATATATTCAGTTGCCAACTAGATGCCATCTGTTTTTGTAATATCAAACACATTTGCAAATTTAACTTAAGCACAATCTTTATGTTATTTCAAAAAGTTATATTTTTTAATTAATGCATCAATCTTCCTCACTATTGGAAAATTTACTTTTTCCTAAAATTTTTCTGTTCATCAGCTATCAGTTTAATTCTGAGATTTGTTGATTTTTTGTCTTTTGAAAGAAATTGATACCTTCCAAAAATTTTCATTCATTTCGGCATTCTAGATAAGCCATCAAATGGTTCATTGATTATTTGAAACAATTTTCTTTGTATGACATTCTTTTGGTAATCTGTCAAGTTTTTTTCTCCAGGTACCAGAATTTTTTCCAATGCAGTACAATGCTATACACTAAAAACACTCCCATGCAACAACTAAAAGCGGAAACAGATATTATACCAAAGAGCAAATATTCATAGAGAATTAGTTTCCCAATAACTAAAATTTGTTCGTTTCTATAGTGCAGCACTTTTTAGATTTATTAGATTTTATAAAAATTTAAAGCTTTTCAAATTCTTCAAAGTTATTGATTGTTTGAGATATGAAGGCCTTTTTCTCTTCCTTGTTGTTCTTTTCCTATACACCAGTTGTACATATATGTATATACATATATATATATATATATATATATATATATATATATATATATATATATATATATATATATATATATATATATATATATATATATATATATATATATATATATATATATATATATATATATATATATATAACACATATAACTGCAAAATAAGCTTGGTACAGTAGTAAGATGTTTAATTTTTATTATGCTGAAGAAAAGTAATGAAAAATACGAATAAAGTATTTGCATAAAAAAATTTAGATATATTCTTTATCTCTATATTTTCTTTTTTTTTCTCTGTCTAAAAAAGTTCTCAAAAAACTATTTATAATTTAAAAAATTAAAAAGGCGCTACATATTAATACTGTGTTTACACAACTGTAGATGTATATAAATGTATTTAATAAATGTGTTAAATTATATTTTCTATAAATAAGACATATTTATATAAAAATCTTTGTTATCAAGGATTATTTGGTTTTCGAACTTATGGGATTCATGTAAATGGATACGTAAGAAATGACAGTGGTGATGTGTATATGTGGATTGCCAGACGTAGCAAATCAAAGCCAACTTTTCCTGGAAAGCTTGACAATACAGTATTTTTTACTTTGGTTTTATATTTATAATAATATTACAAGCCTTTTAAAAGTGTGTTGAGTATCACAGAAATAGTTATATAATCGTTTGTGACTGTGTAACTGTGCTTTAAGTTTCAAAAATAAAAATAAAAAGTTTTAAGACTTAAACTTAAATTTGAATAAACTTTTTTCTTTTTCACCAGAGTGCATTTATAATATGGAATCTAAAAAAATGGAAGCAAATTTGGCATATGAGTCAGTAAAATTAAAAATTGCCTTTTTTTTGAGTTTGTAGTCTCGGGCGTTTAATACATATACTAAAAGTATCTGCATTTTCTTTTGTAAAATGTATGATGAAATTGCAGCCTTATATAATATTATAAAAAAAAACGATCATTTTTTGTTAGATAATATAAAATTTTCATAAGTTAAAATAATTTACCTCCAATTTTAGAATAAAATAGAATAAAATTTTTTTATGTCTTTTTGCTTCCAGTTTGTGGCAAAATTATGGCTTGCTGCACTTTGGTGGCAAAAAAACAAGTTTAATTTGGGGCATAGAAGGATAGTTTTGATTTATTTAGGGAGTGGGCTTATTGTCCTTCTCTATCTAATCTTTTTTAGGAAAATTAGATAATTTTTAGTGTTTGATGAGGGAGAGGGAGAGGGAGAGGGGGAGAAGAAGTAATAGTTTCTGAGATTTAACACAAGCTTATAATACATAAACAAAAATAAGTATTTTGTTTTCAATTATTTGTTTATTACTCGGCTGCAATATTTTATAACATGTTGTTATTTATAATAATACTGCAAAGATATACAGTATCGGACAAAACAAGTGCAACCAAATAATGCAAATATAGTTTCTTTATATAAAAGTCCTGCATTTTTTCAATTTAGAGAAATAACTATGTAACTGTTTAGAGACAACGTTCTTCAAGTTTTATTCATCACAAAGTTCATTATTTGTACACGAAAATTAATAATTTGATCAAAAGTATTAAAAAAAGTTGATTTCTTTCTGGGCAAAACAAGTGCAACTCTACAAAATGTTGACCAAACTGTATTTTGCTATCAATATTTCGTGGCGAATCCTTTGTTGTCGATCAGTTATGACTTATTACGAACACCTTCACGATTAATTCTGTGGTTGACAATCTCCCACAGGTTCACGATAGGGTTGAGATCCGGAGATTGAGGCTGCCAATCCATTACCGATAGGTGGTTGTCTCGAAATCACTGCTTGACTACTTTTGCAGTGTGTTTCGGATTGTTGCCTTGCTGAAAAACCCATTTTATTGGCATATTCCATTCAGCATGAGGTAACATAACATCTTTCAAGATATTTTTATACATGAAGCGGTCCTTTATTCCATTGATTCGATATATTGGACCCAGACCGTTAGCCGAAAAACACTCCCAGACCATTACATTGCCTCCACCATGCTTCACGGTCTTATGGCAGTAACGTAAATAGAGGCATTTTCCGGCCGATTGACGTACACGACAAATGCCATCACTCCCAATGATGTTGAACTTCAATTCATCACTGAACAAGACAGTTCGCCATTTCTGCACATTCCAGTCAATATGAGATGTAGCAAACAGGAATCTTTTCTTCTGGTTCTTTAGTGAAATCAGCGGTTTCTTGGCAGGGCGTTGAGAAAACAATCCGGCTTCAACAGCACATCGTCTGATTGTTTTGTCTGATACAGGCAGCTCTAATTGCTTTTGTATCTTGACTGATGATATCCAGATATCCTTCTTGATGGATCTGATGATCATAGAATCCTCTCTAGAAGTGGTGGAACACGGTCTTCCACCTTTGTTATCTGCTGCCAACTTTCCCGTTGAACGATATTTGGAACATAGTCTTGATACAGTCCATTTTTTCACGCAATATTTATCACAAATACTTTTTTGTGAAATTCCATTTACATAATTGCCAATAATTTTCTTTCTTAGTTCCAATCCAAGACTGTCGGGAGCCATTTTTGCACTTGAAGTCATAAAAATAATAAAAGTAAATAATCACGCTTCTTAAGGCTTACCGTGTTGCATTTACCTTGTGATGATACAATAATGCTCTGTGGAACACAGCGTCTTGGTTGGATGTGGACTGTATTGATGTAATGAAACACTTGTTGTATTTCACATCTTGTATTGATGTTCTTCGATAAAACACTTTGATAAAACTCACTTTGATAAACTGTCTTGATAATACTGACTGATTGACTTTCATATACTGAATGAATTATATGTCGGTTTACATGTCTCTTATATTGTAAAATGAACCTGTGTGAACCTGTTCTGGAAGATTCTAGATGCTTTTTTTCGATGCTTCTGGAAGCTTCTGGATGCGTCTGGATGCTTCCAGATGCTTTTTCTAGAAACTTCTGGAAGCTTCTGCATGCTTCTGGAAACTTTTGGATACTTCCTTTAATTATTAAAAAACTTCCATGACTTTGACACAGACGAGACTTAAGAAAATAAAACAAACCAAAAAAGTTGCACTTGTTTTGTCCGCTGCAAAATGGCACTTGTCAACGAAATTCTGCCTGTGTGCTGTCACCTGTCAGCTGATTGCTCATGTCATGACATGCTATGACTCCAGACTCCTGAACTGTTTGCTGTGGTAGTATAGTTCGTTTTGTTTTTAAGACATGTAAAATTAGGAACACTTTTTAGCATTGTTTGATGTTGGTTGCAAATGTTTTGTCCAATACTGTAAGGTAACATAAAGATAAAATAAGCTAACTAAAGCAATGTTTATTTTTATTTGAAATTCATATAAACCTACTTGTTTACAATTTATAAAACCTTTTTAGTGAAATGATAAGTTTTACTAAAAATGACTCTGTCATCCCTTTTTGACTCTCATATTTTGTTGTAATATTGAATATAACGTTTTTAAAAAAAATTATACTATTGTTCTTAGAAAGGCAAGATAAAGGTTTTGTTAACATAAAAAAGGACATTTGACCTCTTTTTCCCTTCGTCTGTTATCATAACTGTATATATTATAGTTTGATATAATCTTTGATATAATTTTATATTATAGTTTGATATAATCTTGGTAATCCGAAAGTTAAGATGTGTCTAGAAATTCTGTTATATTGATTTTTTAAAATTCAACATAATCAGATGTAAAAATCTAAATGGTTTATTTTAGTATATCTTTGTTTAACTATATTATTTTTTGTTGGAGAAAAGCAGAATGTAAGCGTGAATTCTTACAACATTTATAGTGATATAACATTAGTTTTTTAGTTTTTAAAATGAGAAGTTAAAATTTTAGGTTGCTGGTGGTATTAGTTCCGGAGATGGAGTGCTTGAGACTGTGATAAAAGAATGTAAAGAAGAAGCCGGAATTCCTGAAAAATTGGCCTCAACTGCTCGACCAGCTGGTACACTATGGTATCTTGTCATTCTCTAATTCACTTATCTGTTTTTAAATGTTATCTTTAAATACAAAAAGAAAAGTTTTTCTTATTTTTAAATATATATATATATATATATATATATATATATATATATATATATATATATATATATATATATATATATATATATATATATATATATATATATATATATATATATATATATATACATTAGTTATTATTATGAAAATGATGTTGAACTTCAACCTGAAATACTATTTGTTTACGATTTGGAGCTACCTCGTTCATTTGAGCCCACTAATACAGATGATGAGGTTTCTGATTTCTACTTACTTCCAATTAAAGAGGTTTGTAAATTTTCAAATATTGATTTATTAAAGGATATAAAAAGAGTACATAATTAAAAGGTTATACACAATACTTAAAAATATTTTTAAGTATACTTAAAAAAAAGTTTCTGTGTTGATGTATTCTCAGACTCAGAGACTCAGAGATCAGATCAAAGCAACCGAGGCGCAGTGGTAGCACACTTGCCTCAGAAAAGTAAGATCCGTGGTTCAAACCCCACCTCTGGGCAAGTTTTGTGACATCGGTTGGGAAGGGGGCGTTAACTTCCTATTAAATGCTCTTCCGCGGTGCTCTGTGATAAGACCGTAAGGACTTCTTGGGGCACCTAAATCAACTTTAAAAATATATATATGTAAAAAAAAGTTCCGAGTTTTGGTGTTCCGGACTTTTTATTTTTTTCGTAAATCTGGTGTACCGAAATTCAAAAATGTTTTCATACTTCTGCACAAACGTAAAAGTACAGCGCTTTTAGATTCTGTTATTTTAAATTTAGAATCCTTAAGCCTTATTTCAAATAGCACTTTATATTATTTTTGGATTAAAAATTATAAAATCAGGAGTTAACCTTTTTATATAGAGTCCATCAATAATTTCTTTTTTCAATTTCATTTTCATTTTCAAATTTCATTTTTTTTAATGAATTTATATTGTTGTTAATATACTATATAGTGTTGATGTTTTTAGGTAAAAGAGTTACTAGCTACTAATGAGTTTAAACCAAATTGTGCACTCGTGCTTCTCGATTTCTTTATAAGACATGGTGCCATCGATCCTGATACCGGTAGCTACTTAAATTATATTTCTTTTTTTACAACATTTTCCTGTGTTACAACTAAAACTTTTTTTGGACTTTGTATTTTTCATTTAGAACCAAATTATGTTGAATTTTCGCAAGGTTGTCGAAGATCGCTGCCTTATTAGTTGTATAGAAAACAAAGTTTATCGTACCAACAAGTTTTTAAATCTAATCTTTGATTATAAAGAAGTATTTTTAGTTGTTGATAGTTTTGAAAAGACATTAATGAAAGTGCGTAAAAATCTAAAAAATACTGTTGCGCTAAGAATCTTCGAGGTAGAGTTAAGAATCTAAGAATCTTCGTGGTTGAGTTAATGGTAAATTAGTTTTTAATTATTTATGAATTGAATTTGTATGTAAACATTTGTAAAATATAATAGACTATTTCAATGTAATAATGTATAGAAAATGTTTTATCCTTTTTTTGAATTTATTACGTATTTAGACAAAACTTAAAAAGACGAGAGTACTTTCAATATTTCAAAATCAAATAAAAATAATAATATAAGTCAAAAATAATATATATTAATTATTAAGAGGTAATAACTTTTTTTCAACGCATGTATTTAAATTTAAAATACCTTGTTAACATAAGATGCTACTCTGGCGTGCAATATGGAAAGATGGATTTTTGGTAGCCGACCTGCTCAACTCTTGGGCATTTCTTGGATTTCTCCGCAATTAAACATTAGTGGTTATTTTTTCTTATAAGTTGCGGTTAATGAGGCGTGCAGTGTTGTAAAAATCGTATTTTTAAACGATAACAACTTTTTTATTTTTAAATCCCACGCTAAAAGTTTCACTTCAATACCATTAATATTGTCACAAAATATTCATTTAACTCGTTACATTTTTTTAGTGAATAAAGTGGTTCCTATATGAAATTATAATAAGTTTACATGAGTTATAAATTAAACTCCACTAGCTTGTGTTCTAAACGCTAATCTTCTTTAACTACTAAAAAAACTTTAACAAATTTAAATCTATGAACTGAAATACTTTGAAAATAATAACATTATATATAAACCTTTTTATGAAACAATGTTTAATCAGTTTTTTATAACATACCGTGCACTTTATCTGGTAGTAGGTAAAATGCAAACAGCAAACCGGTAAGTTCTTCCGGTTTTTCTTAGCTAACAAAAAGAGAAGACTTTTTGTCAAAAGAGGAGTATAAAGTTGAATTGTCAGCAAAAAAAGTCACTTTAAATGTAAGGTTGTCAGGAAGATCATTAATGTAGATAAGAAGCAATACAGGACGAAGAATAAAATCTTGAGGTACCTCAGATGTAACTGGAAATGAAGAAAAGTGTAGGCCTTTGACGTTGATAAAACAGTTAGGAAAAAAATGTTTGATAATCTCAAAAACTTTACCAGATACACCATGCTTGAAACAAGCTTATAGAAAAGACCAGCATGTCAAGCATTATCGAAAACTGTAGATATGTCAAGAGAAAAAGTCCTAGCTTCGTCGCTTACATCTAATGCGTCATAGAATCTTGGTTTATCTTATACTTTTTCCATTTTAAATATAAACTGAAAAATTCTCAATAAGGAATGTGGTCAGGTATTTTTAATTTAACTATGCATACTTGTTTGGAACTTTTATTGTAAAAACGTTTTATTTTGTTGATTATTTATTAATGGGATTTATATTCACACGCTTGTAAAAGGTTCTGACAATAAGATCATTACAAACTTGTTTGTGTTTGTAAAAGTGATTTATATACAATGGCAACAAATGAAAACTCAAAAAAAAAAAAATCCTCTTCTTAGTGAATGATAAAAATCGCTCCTTCTGACATTTACGCATTAAGAAAAATGAACGATTCAAAGAAAGAGTATGTGATGAAAGTGTTACTGAATTTTATACTTTTTTTTTTGTAGTTATTAAGGTGCTCCTAGAAGTCTCTATATTCTTGTTCCATAGCACCGCGTTAAAACATTTAACTGAAAAATTTACACCTCCTACCTTACCATGATCGCTTGATAGGCTAGAGCCGATATCGAATCTCAGACCTCTTGCTTCTGAGCCAGAACTTTAACTACTGCGCCACAGCTGCACAGACTTAACGTCTTAGAAAATACAAACATATTTTAATGAGAACGTAAGAAAAAATGTAAATATAGTCAGTAAGTGTAATAGTTTTTTATCCGGTTTTTACATCCATTTAAAACAATCTTGACAACAACCATGACATTCATTTAAAACACCGCGACAATCAATTAAAACAATCGCAATTTTTATTTAAAACATTTAACGCATGCGCAATCTCAACATTCTATATTATATTAAAAAAAAGGTTTTCTTTATATATTTTTATTTTTTTTATTCGATTTTTTTAAAATTATTCAAAATTTTATTTTATTTAAAATAAAATGTTTATTTTCTAATTACTGTCGAGGTATGTCATCTGACCTAAGATACGCTTCGTAAAAGCTTTTGCAGTGTGTGTAATAGTTTAATAAGTTACTAAGGTGCGCCTTACTAAGTTACTAACCGTAACTTAGTAAGGCGCACCTTAGCTTACCTTATTTTAGATTCTCTCGTATTTTTTTTTTTTTTTAAATTTTTTTTTTGTTTAGTCTCAACAATCACAAACAGCTAAATTTATGGTTTGCTATGATCAAATTTACTCAGCATTTTTAAGTAAATTTGATTAACCTGAGTTAATCAAATTTACTCATTTGAGTTGAACAATTTTGATAATAGTTTGACGCACACTATATTTGTGCAGTTATGGGAGTTCTAAAAGAGTAATTTCAAGTTATATAAAAAAATTCAATGCTTTATGTTTAAGTTTCAATATCGTATTCCATATTTAGGTCCTCTAATTGTGATTGAGAATTTTGTAGCATAGTAATACGTTTTTAATACGTTCTTAATACGTTTTTGATTGCATTTGGAACTTTGTAGCATAGTAATACGTTTTTGATTGCATTTGCATAGTAATACGTTTTTGATTGCATTTAGAATAATAGAACGAGTTTTTAAAATTATATTCCAAAACTAAAAAAGTTGGCACGTAAAAATGGGATTAAAAAACAAAGATTTACTTTTAATTATTTTTAAATTTTCTGTTTGACGTGATAATATCAAATTTTAAAATGATCAAATTAAAAAAAATTTAAGAAACAAAACTTTGCTTTTAACTAACTAACACTGACAATAAGAAATAAGTATGTTGTCACGTATTTTAACAACATAACACGTTCATATTTACAACCGTGCAGTCAGAAAATATTGTTCAGATCAAGATTTAGACCTGACCCAACCTGACTCAGCGCAGCATGTTTGGAGCGGGTCTAGTTCTACTTTTTCCAACTTAGATCAGCGAAACCACTAGAATAAAATGGTTTTTTGTTGAATTTATAAATTAAACAAGGTGATTATTAGAATAAAGTATGTCGTTTTATAAAAATTATAAAAATATTATTTCTTATAAAAAATTTCATTTATTTTCAAAAAAAATAAAATACAATAGTTACTAATATATACAAATATATATATTTACATATATAATTCGAGCAAAAAAAAATTCATTTATACAAATCGTCAAATATGAAGTTTGTTTTCAACGAAATTAAATATTGAACGAAAAACAAATTATTTTAAAAAATAGATTAGACATTACTAAATTCCACAAAGCTTTTATTTTATAAGACTTTAAATTATGCGCAAAAATTATTTACTATGCGCAAAACTCTAATAAAATTTTTTGTTTGATAAAAATTAATAACTTAATTAAAAAACTAAAACTAGGATAAAACTAGCTACTATCTATCATAATTGCCGCGAGACAAAATGCTCCTTCATGTGAAAGAACATTTAAAGTGTGGGTGCCGGGTCCAAGGTCACTAGTTATACTGTCAACTTGAGTTCTCTTTCCTGGGTCATTAGGGCGTCCTTCTTTTATTACTATTTGTCTGTCAGTCATATTATCTACCCATATGGTTGAAGAACCACCCCAACGTGTATGCGTTGTAATGGCTACCTCAGAGCGAAACCTTTTTGAACCGTTTCCACTGTACTTTTCGGGAATGTAAAACTGTATTGCTAATAAAGCACCAGGGTGCTCAGCTTTCCAACAAATTACTTTATCAAACCTAATAGGAAAGTTTGTTGCATATTCTAACTTAAATCCATTCTCTTTTACAACTTTAACTTTTAGGTTGTTTGTAACTTTTTCATTTAAGTCTGCAGTGATTAGTGTCCAGCACAATGGCTCCGGAGACTTTAGACCCATAAATAATGGTTCCGGTAATACATATTTATCTTCAAATCTTTCAATATACCCATTATGGTCAATCGCCCATTGAAGTACAGCTCTCATTACATGACGTAAATGGAGTAGTAATAAAAGAGACATTTGAGCGTGACCTCTTAACGAAGGATGGTATTGGTCAAGACTAAATAAAGTTTCTATACTATAGCCTGGTTCATTTCTAACTAAAGCTCCGCACACCATTGCTCTCCAACTAAGTGAGGGAATTTTGTAATAATGAGCAATAATATCTTCGCCTTGATCTTCAAAGTTTGGGCAACTATCCCGTGATGCTTTAAAATCTACACCTTTAAAAAAGTTTACATATAATAAAGCGGGTTTGTTTTGCAACTCTAAAACAATACGAGTTAATCTTTCTAAGGGTCGGGCGCCTTTCGTTGGTTGCATTTTATACCTATTAAAATCATTTGCCGCTAATTCCCATAAAACAATATCAGTCTCTGTTGCAATATGATTTTTTACACAGTATGAAAAATAATCTGTACCAATAGAACCTATGGCTATGTTATTTACAATCATATCAGATCCAGTCAATGGCGTAATCATTTTGTTCCACCAATCAACAAGTCCTTTATAAAAAAGTCCATCAATATTTCCTCTATCTTTATAAAGTCCTCCACCAGCACTTATTGAACCACCAATGATACTTAATGTAATATCTTTCCCTTCTAACGCCCTTCTCATTACACCTTTAAGTCTATCAATACTTCCAGCGTTAACCAAACCTGACCTTAATATAGATGAGTTTAAGTCTAATGACTTTAAAGTGTGAAAGTGATACCGCCATGATTCTAACGGATCTTTATTTAAAAACTCGATTATTGCTTCGGCCTTCCTTTTATCTAGTACTTTTGGTTCAGGCATTTTAATTGGTAGTTTTGTTACAGGATTTGATGTACTTCTCTTAACAGCCGGAATTTTTCTTGTTGGTGTTACTTTGATTTGCTTTTGTGTAGAAACAAAATGAACAATAGATGATCGAGTTGGTAAAGTTTTATGTGACTGTGTTGGTTTGGACTTGATTAAATATTTAAATACAGTGGTTTTAGGCGATGGGTTTACCGGTGGTGAAATTGTTACTCTATGTGTAGATGAAGTTGATAATGAAGATGAGGTTGGCTTATGAACTTTATTTTTAGTTTTTGAAAACTGCACACTTGCAGAATTTAAATCGTCACTTTTAATGCTATTGTGAGACATCCACGAAATCTCGTGTCTTTGATTACTTTCACTTTTATGACCTTCTTCTAAACTGAATTTTTGACTTTTTTCTTGCATATTTTTATCTCTCAGCTCAATATTACGATAGTGATTTTGTTTAGGTGTTTCAAAATTTGTTTGTTTTGCTTGAATAGTTTCATTTTCATCATCTGCTTTTTCCTCTTTATTCATTTTTTTAGTGTTGTAAACGTCATCACTCGTTTCGTCATAAGCTTTATCTTGAGAGCTTTTAGTAAATGGCTTTTTCAGACTATCCTCAACACTATCATTTTTAATTTTTATTTCATCGCGCTCATGTTCAGTCTCATTTTTGTTTTTTATTGCGGTATTTTGCACTTCTGCTGTATTTTTAAAATTGCTGTTTATTGACATAAGCTTAAGTTTGATTTTTTCATGTAATTGTCTAATTTCTTCTATATTTTTATTTTGATTGTCATTAAAATCTGTTTCAATACTATTATCTTGTTTATTTATGGTCTTAGTTTCTTCTTTAACTCCAGTCTCAGTTTTAGTAGTTTCAAATTCTTCTTTGTTAGAATTTTCCTTCTTATTTGCATACTTTTCAGAGTTCTTATTTTCTGACAAATCATCTGTATGTATATTGTGAAGCGTGTTATTTTCAGCAAAATCTTTTGAGCTATCTGCTCCTGCTTTGCTCATTTTACTTTCATTATCAATTCCTGCTACGCTGATTCGACTTTCATTATCAATTGCAGCTTTGCTCACTTGACTTTGCTCATTGTTTTTTACTGGATAATCAGGTATATCGGTTTTGATTGCATCATCGCTTATAAAATCTGATTTTGAAAATTTATCGCCATTCAAACCTTGTGAAATATTTGTCAATTTTGTGTTTATACTATCTTCTGTTTTGAAACTAGAATGATTAAAACCATCAACAAGTCTTGCAACTTCCAAACTGCTTTCTTTGTTGTTATCAACATGTCTTGCTACTTCTAGACTACTTTCTATGTTTTTATTAACTGTTTGAGTTTTTGACGACTCAACGTTTTGATTACTCGTAAAATTTTCTTTTTCCTCTTTATCGAATTCGGAGTTTTTAAAGTTCTGATTATCTTCCGTCAAACTTTTTTCGTCGTTTTTATACAAATGCGATGGATCTGGTGTTGAACTTTTAAATTCATTCTGTTTTTGTTTTTTGAATGTCGCATTAGAGCTTTCATTTTCGTCCTCGTTCAATAACTTTAAATTTTCTTTAACGTGTTTTAGCTTGTCAATGTCTGCATCCAGTTCAGAATCTTTAGTTTGTCCCGCCAATTTTCCAAATGGCACAAACTTGGGCTTTAAATCAATCATTTTAAAATGATCAGTTTCAGGATCAATAGGTACATCGTCTCTCTCACGTCCGATTTGTTCAACTTCATTCTTTTTAGAAAATACCTCTTCTTTAACTTTAAAACTATTACTTTGATCAACTAAATCTTTAAATTGCTCCTCCATTTCACTAAAATGTTCTTTTAGTTCATCAAAGATCTTTTCTTTTTTAGTATCGCTGTCGTCGTTACCGTTATTGTTTAGAACAATAGTGTAACCTAGGTTATCATCTGGAACAATACTTTGAATTTCGGAACGCTTCCTTCCAGCTTGATCTAAATTAAAGTTATCAAAATCTATGACTATCAAAGTTCCATTTCCATTAACGTTTGATTGGTTGCCTCTTTTTAGAACATGTAAAATTTCGCTTCTCTTTGGTTTTTTATAGTTTGTTTTGAGATTTGATACATTAAAGTATTTCATCTTAGATTTCAAAGGTTTGTTACCTATCTTATTTTCATTGTTTTTATAACTTATTTTCACCTTTGGCTTTAGACTTAATTTCTTATATGCTGGTTTTACCGCCTGTTGTTGTAATGCGTTCCTTTTCTTTAAAGATATTTTCAATAAAGGATCGTTTAAAACTTCATTCATTAATTCAGTAAGCTCGTTGCGTCCTCGTTTCGGAACGTGTTGGAACAAAGTGCACAACGTTAAGGACACAAAAGACAGTCCAATAAAATGCGATAACATAATTTATCTAACCTCCTCTCTACGAACCTTCCACGGACTCTACAAAACGTTCCTATGAAAAAATGTTTATTTTTAAATACTTATTTTTAATTGAGTATTAAATCTAATCACAAATTTATAGATATTCTTAAATAATTTTAAAAAAGGTTACAAATTTTTGACTATAAAATTATATTCATTTAAAAACAATTTTCAAGATTTTTCCATTTTCCAAACTCAAACTTTTTAAAAATTCGTTGAGCTTTTCCAAAGTCCGCGACTAACATTGTTAATCATGCAGAAAGTAATTATTCACAAGAAGAACTTGTAAGATTTCAAAAAAAACAAACTCTCCAAAATAAATTTTTTTACTTATAACGGAAAGAAATCTAGACAGCCAGAAAAAAAAAATGTATATATATAAATATCTAAACGACACGTACTTTTCCTTTGATCTGCAAGTTTCTTATAAGTACTGCTAGTTGCAGCTTTTTTATTACGTTCATCACTGGAAAACCGACTTTCGCCCAAAACTTGATGAAAAACTTTTATCTCATTCTCATATGGTTAAAATTTAACCAAAATGTTTTCACAATAAAAAGTTTATATTATTATGAATCGCCAGATTTTCTTTGCTTATCCTCAATGAAGTAATAAAGTTATTTTTTATGGAATAAGTATTTAGACGCCTATTGAACGTACAGCAAACGCTCTACTAAGTGATCTCAACAACAACCCCGACTGTTTGAATTCAGCATAGCGCATGCGCCTTGTATTGATATTTATTCTTAGATATTGTTATAGCACTCTGTTACTAAGTTCAATTTTCTTAGATTATCACTAAAAAATATTTCTTTTTAAAATATTTTGTTTCAAAATGTTTTATTTTAGCGTCTACATAAAATAAATAAATGAACAAAAATATAAAAAAATATATATAACAAAAATATATCAATTTAATAAACATATATTTATAGTATGATTAAAATAAAATATAAACTGTATATATATATTATTTATATGTTACTTTTTGATTTGATATTTGAAGTTATTCTGTTAATCGCTATTGAGATTTTGGCCTTTTTTTGATTTCGAGATATTGGTACTAGTTTTCCTTCAATACAGTCAATGTATGCGGCTTTCAAAACCCAATGTATTTTGGGGTTGCCAAAATAAAAAAATGAGATTTGTCTAATTTTTTAGAAACTTACAGCTTTACAATTACTATAGCTTTAAAACACTTGAATGAGAGCCAAAACATTTTTGAGTTTCAAACCTACGCAAATTCAAAACAACGTAGCATTAAAACGAGCTAACTTTAAACTTTGCAACTTCGCCTTGGTCTCCTTTTCTCTTGTAAGATACTTTTTTTCTCTTTCAAGTCGAACTTTTTGTTGATGTTAGTAGGAGTTCTTTTCAATGAGATCAATCAATTCTTTTCTAAGGGCACAAAATTCTCTTTTTGTTTGCATCGATCAATTCTCTTTTTATTTGCATCGAGTGGTTATGGAGACATAAATGCACTTCCTTAACAAAATATGTTGCTTTTAAATAAAATTAAAGTAAATGAAAACGAAAGTAAACTTAAACTTATAAGAAAACAAAGCAAACATAAACTATAATTGTAATTATAATAAATACAAAATTACAAACTTTTGTAATTTTTTTCCAATAGAGAGTTGTGAATAGTTTTAGCGACATATAAGGTTATTTTAGCAACATTTAAGGTTATTTTAGCAATATATAAGTTTATTTTAGTATCGTGTTGATATAGCTGAAAGCCTATTTCAGTTTTCTGTATTACTGGAATAGAATGAAACAGGCAATCAGATAGGAAAAAATCCAGAAAAATAAAACGTAATTACTCAAAGAAAATCTAACTTTTATTTAACCATTTTAATAAAATAAGAACAAAACAACGATGAATTCAAACAATGCAAAGTAACTAAAAAGTTTAAGACAATTTTAACCAAGAAAAGGTTACCTAGTTGCAAATTTTAAAGACACCTTCAAGCGTGAAAAAAGATACCAAGATCCTCTTATGAGTTCTAAAGACTCTTGACAAATTTAAGAAAACGTGAACAACCTTTCAAAAGAGGCAAAGAGTTTTATATTTTTAGAAGTGGGGAATAAGGAACCATTAAAACAACCAGATTCTTCGGATTCAGAATCAGTGGAATCAACAAGAATTATTAATTTAGAAGAAAACAATGAGCAGTTAAGAAGATAATTTTTTTATATGGAAGATGAATATATTGACGTGTGAAAAAAAAATGTAAATAATAATATTACAAGATTTATTATATATTACTAACATTCTTTTTTTCTTTTTTTCTTTTTCAATATCATTGACGCTTGGCCTTTTTTAGATTGCGGAAAAAAAAAAAAAAAAAATAGTAAAGCATAAACTCTTTGATTTTACAAGAGAAATATTAGGAAAGACAAGCCCCTTGAAGTTTTAATCCGTTAAATTACAAAATAGCCATTGATGCAGTTTCATTATATACTACATAATCTTTCATTGAATTATTATTTATAAATTCTAATTTTAAATAAAACAAAGCATGTCATTTTTTATTATTTTTACAATGCAAATTAACATAATTGGTCATATTTCAACATTAAGTTTTTTTTGGTTTTTTATTCCTAATTTGTAAATGTTCAAAAATTTGCTATTATGTTTTATTGGTTTTCAAAAAATTTGTCCAATATTTTTGAAAATATATTGACCGTCATCAAGCAATGACTAAATACATCATTAGTAAGAAAGGAGGCATGAATTTTATGGTTAAATGCCATTTCGCAGTGCTCTGCGATAAGACAGTTAGAACTTCATGGAGCACCTAAGTTGAAAAAAACAAAAAAAAAAAAAACAAAAAAAAAAAAAAATAAAGCTTGAAATATAATGTATAATAACTCAGACTTTTAAACTTGAAATTGATTAGTATTTTTCTGTGGACTTTAAACTGATGAGTATTTAAAGTGAACAGTTAGAAAAAATTGCTTCTCTATTTGGAGAAAATCAATCAGCAATCGGACATTAATTTTAAAAATGTAAATTTCAATACAGAAAATGTAAAAAGACTTCCAAATACAATCAAAGTAAATGAAACGAAGCAGAAAACTTATTATCCAACGAAACTTTATATCTATAATGCGAAGTCACTTTTGGTCATTGATAATGAAAAGTTCTTCTACAGTAAACATGCCTCAATGTTTTGGATTGCACTTATTTACTATATAAATTAAAGTAAAAAAAACAATTTTTTATTAACTTTCCTTATTCGCGATTATTGTGACATTATTGATGATTATTGTTTTTTTGTGATTTTACACTGCAAACCAAATGAAATTTGTTTAGGTTTTTGCTTGCTTTGTCGCTAAGATATGTACGAACATAATAAGCCAAATTTTTAATTGTTACGTTAATAGTTACGACTAGTTTTATTACAGCAACTTGCAGCCATAAAACTAGTTGTAACTATTAAGGGACAACTATTAATGTAACTATTAGCGACAGCTTGTCAAGCTGTCCCTAAACAAGTTGCTTGCCTAATTAACTCGAAATTTTGGTAGCAGTATCGTTTTAATTGTTATTAATCTTGCTAGCCAATTTATTTAGTCACTAGCCAATATCGCTCAGGGTTTTTATACATTTAGTTGGTATATGTTATACATTTTTGGTATATATTATACATTTTTATACATTTAATTGTTATATATCGCTCAACAGTTTTTGTAGTATCTTTTAGGGTGCTATTTCCGTTTGCGGCTACGCGCGTTGGAGTAGTAAATAAATTAGTCCAAGAAAAAGTCTTGCAACTATTTTTAATGAGTTTAGTAATTTGTTAAACTGATCCATTTTAAAGATCTTAAGTATAAATTTTACTATCTAAAAATAGTGGGTTATTTTTTTAATACACAGTCAGATAATTCCTTCTAAATGGTTTGATAAATAAAACTAATCACTTGCTTTCTTCAAACACTACAACAAGAATCTTGTCTTTTACACCAATGGACCCTTTGGCGATTGTAAACCAGTTTCACTCGCTTGCAAAGAATCCTCAAAATAGAGATACCATTGTCAAAGTATAATTTTGTATTATTTTATATAGCAGATTCGTTGCACATTTCTTTATTACAAAATGATTTGTTTAATGTATTAACTTTTTATGAAGATTTATGTCATAATTTAAAAATACTTACTTAAGGTAAACATATAATTATTAATGATAGTTATATTGTGATATTATATGTATCTATCAAATATATGGGTTTATAATTTTATGATCATAAATTTTAAGATCATAAAATTATAAATCATTTTTACTTAATTAATGATCAAAAGCTCATGATTTATGATAAGTCAATAGTTTTTTTGAGTTAAAAATTGAGTTAAAATGAAAATAACTTGCCTCAAAATTTTTAAATAATGAAATTGTTTACAAGTATTTGTGCTTTTTAACTTTTAAAAAAATTAAAAGTTTTTTTAAAAGGTAAACAGAATTTTTTATAAATTTAAAAATTTTTCTAAGTATTGCCTTATACATGCATTATTATTTAATTTGTACAATCAAATTTAGAAATTAGCTTTTTTTTATAAAATATAACTTTATTAAAATTTTTAAAAAGTTAACTACTTGATTGAATTTGACATAATTCATTGTTAATTGACATAGTTAGTTGGAAAAGTATAAACTATCTCTTAAAAATCATTATTTAAAGTATTTTTTGAAATTGAAACTTTCTTTTTTTTAGTTATCATTTTAAAATGGAAAAATCTTAGTGAAAAATTATATAATACAAAGATTTCCAACTACTTTCATCAGAACTTATTTTTTCTAAGAGAAAATATTCATTATATTTCTCATATAGATTGAGAGAAATATACTTAGTACTTTCATTAGCCTTTTTTTAATACTATTTTTACTGCAAATTTATAAATGATATTGTCCTAAATTTAAAGTATCTGAACTTAAATCTATGTTTTTACAATAAAATTTTTTTTAAAATCTAAAGCTTTTGTTTGGACATATGAAAGATAGTATCATAGGTTGATAAAAGTATGTGAATTCCAAATTTAAGAATTTGAATAATTTATAAGTTTAAATTTTATAAACACCTTATAAATTAGGTTATTTACAAGTTATTCAATATTATAAAATAGTATAGTTCTTTGTATTTTAAAAACTTTGAAAGTAAAAAAGTGTTTTTGGTGACAAAGTAAATGATTGAGAAAAAACTATTGTACAACTTGGTGTAGTTAATTAACTACACAGAGTTCCACTTGCGATATTGTCATTGCGATATTGATTATATTATCACAAAAGTACAAGTTTTTTACATTTTCAAGTTTTTATTAATCCACAAACAAACATGTATATAAAATTATTTTGTTTTTAAATATATGTCAAGAATTTTATGTTTGTTGTTAATGTATCATTTATATTATGTCAGTTTATAGTTATAATTATAATTTAAATTAATTGTTTTTTTACATTTTTAATATACTTGATTTCTCCTATTGTTTCCTATTAATTTTTTTAAACCATTAATTATACCACTGATTAAGGAAAAGTTTATAGTTCTGATCAAGAAAACTTTTGATGATTTTGTTATATCCCTGCAATATCATGCTTGCAGCAATTTATAAGTTTATGTTATTACTTGCATTTTAAATCCCATCACATTAAACACGGAAAACTGTATAATCCATAGATAGTTTACCCAGTGCAATCAATATTTTGTGGACACCAAATTAAATCACCTAAGAAAAACAAAGCAAAAAAACTTCGATGATGGTGCTCATGCATTTTTTTGAGAAATAACTTTCAAAATCTTTCAAAAAGTAAAAAATAAAACATTTTACTAGAAAAATTCAAAGTATAATTAAGAGAAATTTTATTTCTGAAACAAATGCAAGTGTTTTAATTAAGGTGCTGCTCCGATGCAGGCAACTCACTTCTATTTATAATGTGCAATATTTGCTGAGAGAAGATGATAATCAGTTAGATGTGTGGTGTGACTCTAAAAAGAAGCCATGATCTTGGACAATAACTAGGAATAGTTTAGTGTATTGAGCAAGCTTAGTCAGAGAAAATTAAGGTTAGTTTATGTATTTTGCACAATAAGGATGCAGATAATTTGGGTATGACCATGCAAAAAGGTGGCAGCTTCAGGAAAAAAAAGTAGAGGTAGAAGTTATAAAACTTAAAGATAGTGCGTTACATATGGTATAAACTTGCTGTAGTTAATGATAGAAGATGCTTGAGATGTTTAAACTATAGAGAAACATTTATGAATTATAGAAACTAAAGCAATAATAATGATGATGAAAGTGATGATAATTGTGATGATGATTATGATGATGTTTATATAAATATATATATATATATATATATATATATATATATATATATATATATATATATATATATATATATATATATATATATATATATATATATATATTAGGGTAGGTCGATTTTAGCTTTTTTTTTTAATTTTAAGTTGCGTAATTTGCAGTAACTTTTAAAGAAGGTTTTACCAAATCTCAAGTATCCTGGTTTAAAAATGGCTTGTGGATTTGCATTTTAAGTCTTAATTTTGGACTAGTTTTGTTTATTTCAAACGTTGCAAAATTTTATTTTCAGTCTAGTAATCTCGTTTTAAAATATCTCGTTTTGAGTTTATAAAGTAACCAATAAACAAGCGCAATGGTTTTAAGAAGCCAATAAAGTTTCGCTAAATCGTTTACACTTTTTTAAACGTAGCAAATCTTTTTTGTATTTAAATTTCTTGTTTGTATTTTAAGTTAGTTTTAAAGTTAAATTTATTTAAAAGTAGGTTCAGAAATAAAACTGCAATTTAAAGAAATCTTTTAATATCAAAGGTAAATACTTATGATTATTATATCTAGAGTAATGTTTTAAACTGTTTATATTAGATAAGTTTTGAATTTTTTTTTTTTTTTTTTTTTTTTTTAACATCTTCGCTTCCAACAAGGCTGCAAGCAACCACCAATAAGTGTTGGAAGTTACTGGAAGAGAAAAGATGAAGATTGGAGAGTAAGATAATGATTGACAGACAACTTAAAATATTGCAAATTATATAAATCAGGAAAGCAAGATAAAGGAAGCAAATTCCAAAGAACTGATGTTCGAGGAAAAAAAACTAGACGAATAAGAGTTTTTGGAGCACTTAGGAACAGTAACAGAAAAAGGATGAGACTTAATTGAATGACGAGTAACACGAGAATGAATTTTTGTAGATGGCACAAGAGACGCTAGCTCTTTAGAGCAGTGCCCATTATAGTATTTTTAGAAAAGAGAAAGAGAGGCAATATTACCACAATGTGACAGAGGTTGAAGGTTGGCTGCAAGAGCAGGTCCAACTATGTTTACAATGCGTTTTTGCACCTTGTCTAAAAGAGAAAGGGCATCATTAGAAGATCCGCCCCAGATATGGCAACAGTATTCCATACAAGGCCGGATTTGAGATTTATAGAGATAGAGAATAGAATCCAGAGTAAGAAAGTGATGAACTTGATAAAGAGAAGCAACTTTAGCAGATGCTAATTTTGCAACGGATTTGATATAAGGTTTCCAAGAAAGATCAGAAGTAAGAGTTAATCCTAGAAGATGAAGGGTAGGAGACTCATCGAGTACATTACCGTTCATAAATATAGGAAGGTCTAAACTATTGCGATAATGATTGGCCGAAAAAAATTGAGTTTTATCTGAATTAAAGTTCACCAGCCACTATGAGCCCCATGCTGTAGCAGAAGTAAGATCCTTTTCAAGCTCAGATGCCCCCTGCAAGCAATCAGAGGGAGTTGGCTTCCTATCGTGACAAGAATAAATGGTAGTATCATCAGCGAACAATGCTACCTTAGATGTGAGAATATCTGGAAGATCGTTAATGTAAATTAAAAAGAGTATAGGGCAAAGGATTGAACCTTGAGGAACCCCTGAAGTTACAGAATAAGAAGAAGAGTGCTATCCATCGAGGACAACTTTTATACTACGATTGGAAAGAAAAGATTCAATAATCTTAAAGACGTTTCCAGATACACCGTAAGAAGAAAGCTTATGGAGAAGACCAGCATGCCAAACTCTATCAAACGCCTTAGAAATGTCAAGAGCAATGGCCTTAACCTCTCCACCTTTATCTAATGCGCAATAAAACCTATCGGTTATTACTGTTAGCAAATCAGCCAGAGAACGAGAAGATCGAAATCCATATTGATGATCAGAAATTAGGTTATGAGATTCGAGATGAGAAATTAAGTGTTTGTTAATTAAAGATTCAAAAACCTTGCTTATGATAGGAAGAAGACTAATGGGACGGTAGTTAGACAAAATGGATTGCTCTCCAGAATTTTTAAAAATAGGGATAACAGATGCTGCTTTCCAGCAGGCTGGAAAACAAGACTCTGATAAGCACATGTTGAATAGTTTTGAAAGGATAGACGACAGCTCCGGAGAACATTTCTGCAGGACTATAACAGGTATGTTGTCCGGGCCACAAGCTGTAGAAGAGTCTAATCACTTACGTGATTAGAATGTCTAGTGATACGAATTAGAATTAGTGATTAGAATGACTAGAAATTAGTGATTAGAATGACTAGTGATACGAATGTCGAGCAATGGATCAACCTGTTTGACGGCTATATCAGGTAGAACGCAACTAGTGGCATCAAGAGATAGTATTGATGAAAAGTTCTTGGCAAACAATTCAGCTTTGTCTTAAGGTGAGGTGACAAAGTCTGAACCATACAAAAGAGGTGGAATAACAGACTTGCCCTTATTATTGATATTAATAAAGATTCTCCAGAAGTCACGAGAGCCTAATTTTTGTGATGAAATACGAGATTTCATGATCTGAGAATAGCAAGCTTTGGCGTTAGACAAAACCTTTTTACAATGGTTTCTAGCAGTAATAAACAGAGGTCTGTTTTCTGGAGAATTATTTTGCTGATAGATATGGAAGTAATGGTTTCGATTGGCAATTGCAGTAGCACAATGTGAGGAAAACCATGGAGAAGAGTGAGGCTTGACCTGAAATCGTCAAGAGGGAATAAAGGATTC